CTGCCCGCATGCTCACCAGTGCTGCCTGCAGGCTTCCCGTTGCCGTTGCCTTGTGGTTTGTAACGCTCCTGCCCTCGCCACGGGTCCAGGCAGAGTGGGGACCTGAGGAGCACGGGGAGCTCAGGCCCTAGGCTGGGGCTGGTACACTTTCACCCCTTTCCTTTGCTTATGCAGGAGGAGGCTGAGCCGGCTGCGTGCTAGCGGCCCTTTATTCCAGATACTGTCAGCCAGAGCAGCAATGTCTTTTTTTTTTTCTTTTTCTAAAAAGAGACTAGAGCCAGTAAAGAGGGGCAGAGTGGTGCACGTCAGGAGGCCCTGCCAGAGAGGGGTCTTGCAGGGGCTGCTGTGCGTAGGGCTCACTGAGCAGACATCCAGAGTGTCTCTGGCCATATCTCAACCTGTTTCTCTTTCCTCCAGACTTGCAGAGATGGAAAGCCAGAACTGTTCTTTCTTCAGTGACAGCCTGTCCCCTGATGATAGTCTGTGAGTTCTGCCTTCGTTCCCTCCCCCTCACCTCCTTCTGAGGCAGGGCTCCTGTGGCTCCATCCCTGCCTAGCCAGGGCACTGAAATGGTTTCCGTCCCAGCTCCTTTGAGTCTGAGGCTCTTGGGCACCCCCAGCTACCCAGCAGTGCTGAGCCACTTCTGAGCTCTAGTCCTGGAACAGCCAGAATGAGCTCCCATATGAAACCACCTCCCTCCAGGCTGTCCTTCCCCAGGGGCACACAAATCCTGTGAGACCAATGTTCCTCACTAAGGTGTTTCTCCACCTGCTGCAACAGGGATGAGGACCAGTACCTGCTGCGCCATTCCAGCCCCATCACCGACAGAGAGCCTGGGGGCAGCCAGCAGGTTTCAGGGAGCCTCAACATGGATGACAAAGGAGAGCTGGAGCGAATCCTAGCCCACTTAGAGGATGAAAACAGGTAGAGGCATGGGCAACTCTGGAAGTGGGGTTTATAGCCTAAGGCAAAGGGCTGGAGAAGCCTGGCAGAGCTCAGAGTGGAGCCAGGGGATAGATGCTGGGGCTCGAGGTGGGG